CACAGGTGCTCATATGGGACTTAGGGAAGGCCACTGCATGGTTCTGATGCCATTCTGCTGGAGGAAGTCTCTTGTTGCTCTCGCAGTGTGGGCACGGGCATTATCATGCTGAAACACGCGGTTGCGGCGACGCGCCAAATGAGGTAAGGCGTGTGGTCTCAAGACTTGATCAATGAACCGAGCTGCTGTGACACCACAGCCGCTCCCTTGACCGATGTTCTGGAAGACCACAGGGCCGACCCTCTGTGCAAGACCAATTCGACCCCACACCATGATGCTCGGACCACAAAACGAGTCTCTCTCAACAAGACAATCATCCGAATAACATTCCCCACGGCGTCGCCAGACTCTCTCTCTCTCGCTGCCATCTGCTGTTGAGATACAGTAACGGCTCGCGTCTGAGAAATTAATTTCTTTAAAAGCAGATCTAATAACTTAGTTCTATCAACGGAATCAAACGCTTTCCGGAAGTCAATAAATGCAGCATAAAACAAACTCGGATACCGCGCTGTCAAAATCCGTTTGCGCAGACGTTTTTGGATTTAGGAGATGATTTAAATATGTATACCATGCATGTGGGGACGAACGTTCCCTATCACCTTTACTGCAATCTTGTTGCATTGTTCCAGCAAGAAAGAAAATATCAAACTGTTGTAAAAAGAGTGAAAATGATGGTAGTTTAGTTTTCGCGAGCAGTCCGTTAATGTACCAGGAACAGATGTTAAACAACTGACTGAGATTTGGGGAAAGATAAGCTCAACCTTACTTCCCTTTAAGGATATAGTCATGTTTGTCACTGCCGAGTCCCTAGCTGTCATACTGCCCGTCACGTGGTGACGTTGGCAGGTAGGCCCGGTCCGCCGTGTGATCCCTCTCGCCTGTGGGAGGATATCCCGGAACACTACGCCTGTTTCGAATTCCCACCTGCTCCAAATTGACTCCATCCTCCACTAAAACAAGCTTTGTTGGAAATAACAAGTTTATCGTATGACATATACGCCTTCTTTCCTTCTGATCTTGCATCTACGAGAAACGGGACAGGTCCTTTCCTGATATCCCTCACTCTCATTGTAAAGTCATTCGTCACATGAATAGCCTTTTTTCCCACCAACTTTGATTTTGCACCATCTAGAACACATGACCTGTCCTTAAAAGAAGTGAACTTTATAATCAGAGGTTTTGATGCAGTTTTACTTCTCAAACGGTGTTCTCTTTCTATGGGATACTTGTCACAGTTATGCAATCCTTATCTATCTCGCATAAAGTCCCTCACACAGTTCTCAGAGTCCTCCCATGTTTCTCCCGTTGCCGCGTCCAGACCATGGAATAGCAGATTATTTCTCCTGCTCTGAGTTTCTACATTGTCCAACTTTAGTTCTAGACAGTCGGCTATATCTTTAAGTTTCTTATTTTCTTCTTGAATCAGCTTCTGTTCATTCTTCGTTTCTTGAGTGAAATTAGCAAATTTTTGGTTTAAAGATTTCATTTCATTCCTTATAATTCTGAACACACCGGCAACGTCCCTTTCCGAGCACCCCCTTTTCGAGTCAATAGCGTCCGTTGGTCCGTAAATGGTAGTTTGGTCTGCTTGGTGTTCACCCTTCCCTGGCGTGTCTCCCTCGGGGTCTGTGTTGGATTCCACGTCCACGCAACATTCGAGTAACCTGGCTATGTATGGGTTTGATCATGAGAAACGACAATCACAATGTGATAACTCAATTATATTTAGAAACCTCCGTGGACACGAAAACAATTTGTCCCTTCGGACATGACTGCACCCCGATACCACATGGCCGGTCAGAAATATAAACAGATTCAACATCAGCAATATTTTTCTACTGCCTTGACAAAAAATGTCCTGTAATAGTTAAAAATGTACCTGCCCGGCATCTCTTGGACACAGGTTGACAGAAACCTCCAATACGAGACCTCCAACATTGAACAGAAATTCTCATATCTTGCTCGGTGATAACCGCACGAGCGTCTCGCTCGACTCGCGTCCAACAGTGGTATGATCAGCTTCGCTGACACGTTGCTGTTCCGCTACAGTGAACACGTTTTTTCCCAAAATATAACAAACCCAGTTTTGCAATAACCTAAAAGCACATCAGAATTGAACGTAATATACAACAACACTATACATGAACAGCAATATACATGTATTCAATGATAGTGTACATAGCAGCGTACCTTTGACATTGTATGTTTTAAGATATTTAGAACGGGTTTAATAAATGCATTTCATTTCAATGGATTTTTATTATTTATGTGTTTTAAATGCTTTTGTGATCAGTTCTGTATAATATACAGTCTGTAGAATACGGGATCCGGAGTAATATTTTAAGGCGCTAGTCGGGAAGTCTCACCCACAGGGTAGGCACATAATAACTTGTATAGTCAATTTCTATATATGTGTAATACATAAGTGTGTCACACCCGTAAATTCATATATATGTATGTATTTTGGAAGAGATTTATAATATCTTTACACTTAGATGATATAATATACTCAGACGCAAAAGAAACGCAAGTGGTTTTAAGCAAATAGGTAACAAACTCGGAACCATAAATTGAGTTTTAGCATGTAGTGAAGCCTGATGGTGTTATCAATATTTTTGGTTGCATTTTGGAAGCCCCGAGTAAAAACGCAACATAAAAAAGGAATCGCCAAAACGCATCATTTCAATGAATATGTGGGTATCGTGCACCCATTTCTCGCGAAATCGAAAATGCACGAATTGTTACGAACTGTAGTGGGTACAAAACTGTGGCCGATTCTTGGACCTACCACTCCTTGGTCAACAGTGCCACGCCTAACTCAAATTCAGAGAAACCCGGCTATATGACGTTTGGAAGCTGGAGAGTCTGTCCAAGATGTTGCCCGTCATTTCAACGTTAACATAACCACAATTTACCGTCTCCTGCATCGATACAATGCAACACAGATCACAGATGACCTTCCTCGGAGCGGTCGTCCTAGGGTCACCACACCTCGTCAAGATAGGCAGATTACCCGGCAACACCAGCGACATCCGTTCCTAACTGCAAGTGAAAGTGCTCGACAGACCATAGGAAGACATAATCGACACATTAGCCGGGACATTGTGATCCGACGTCTCCGTTCCAACAACCTCAGATGTCGTCCTGTTCTCCAACCACGGCATCGACAAGCACGACTTCAGTGGGCACAGGGTCATCACAATTGGCGTCATCGTGAGTGGAGGCGTGTCATCTTCTCTGATGAAAGTCGCTTTTGTGTCTCCCATGCAGACGGAAGAGTAAGAATTTGGCGGCGTCGAGGTGATCGTTTCGCTGACAGAAACGTTGTGGAAAGGGATCCATGCGGTGGACCTAGCGTCATGATATGGGCAGGGATTGGACTTAATGCTTTCTGAATGTTGGTCAAAGTCGGGGACACGGCGCCACTGCTCAGCGGTATATCGACCAAGTGATCAGACCCCACGTTGTTCCATTTTTTGCACAACATCAACAACACATTTTCCAGCAGGACAATGCTCGTCCCCGTGTTACCAGAGCTACCATGGCCTTTCTGCAACAACACAACATCCGTGTTCTGCCGTGGCCAGCCCTCAGCCCTGATCTGAACCCCATCGAACACTTTTGGATGAGGTTCAAAGGCGTCTGCACAATGTGCGCCAAGTCCCTACAACTGCCGATGAACTACGCACAGCTGCTCTGGATGTGTGCAGGAGGATCCCTAGGGCCTTCACAAATCGTCTGATCCACTCAATGTACAGGAGATGTATGGCAGTGATCAATGCTAATGGTGGTCACACCAGGTATTGACTGACATTTTTGGTATTGACCCGAAACTGTGTAAGCCCTTAACATCAGAAAAAAAGAAATTTGTCATCTGCCTTTTAATCCATTGAACTGTCTTCAGTCATTTTTTTGTCAATCTTGCCCAATTAGTATTTCTTGTCTTTACTGTTGAAAATAAATAACATGTAAACTGCATACTCGACTTGCGTTTCGTTTGCGTGAGAGTATATATGGATGATTATTTTAATTGGTTCTCACACCAATTAGCAGATTATTGTATGGTATAACAACTAATACATGAATAGGATCTGTTTGTAATGTAAAACAGTTTGTGATACTGTAATGTGGATGACTGCATTATGTATATTGTTAATATTACTTATCATGCCTTTAATATATTTCAGGGTGTAGATATTAGATAGATAAATATGTGACCAATCCATTGGAGGAATAAACGTCTCTCACCCGTAGCGTGTGTTTGGCTTTCACTCATTCACTGCCCTGCTACACATGTCATCGATCCCAAATGTAAATCACTGGATTGTCTGGCCAAGGATCGATTATTTACAGACCGCCGTCATATAGCTTGAATATTGCTGGGTTAGGCGTAAAACAACAAATCAACCAACCAACCAACCAACTGGACCAATGAACTTGAAACTTCACATGCTTGCTCCCAAAAATGATGACACGTACGATTTTCTTAAGTGGTTCCAACAGCAGTCGTACTGAGTGAGTGAGTGAGTATGGTTTTACGCCGCTTTTAGCAATATTCCAGCAATATCACGGCGGGGAACACCAGAAATGGGCTTCACACATTGTACCCTTGTCGGGAATCGAACCAGGGTCTTCGGCGTGACGAGCGAACGCTTTAACCACTAGGCTACCCGACCGCCCCTGCACGGTACAGAAAAGAGTGTCAACCAAGCGAAGTGTCATATCAAGTCGGCCCAGACTCCGTTTTTGAAGGAGAGGCTTTCTGAACGACCACTGCTTCCAGTTTATGTGCAGTGTGTTGAGAAGCTTTCTGTTTGCTGCTCAGGACCAGTCACTTCCAACTCGAAACCGTCAATGTGTCATTTTGCATCAAAATGTGAATATGAAACGTAGATTATGTAATGAATTTAATTAGACTGTCAATCACATTGTCAGTGGATGCCCAACTTTGGGCAAAGACACAGTATCTTAATCTTAAAATGATAACAGAGACATAGGAACAGATGGCAAAACTACTGCAGATGAGTTTATTGTATTTTTACAATAAACGGAACAAAACCACAAAAGAGCTAGCCAATGGTATTAAATTCAACAATATCAATACACAAAAACAAAGTTAAAGCGATGTAGATAATCTTTCAAAAGCAGTTCTATCCATGCAGCACAATAAGAGCCCAGGTATTGACTTATATCAAATTCACTTTCTATATTTTTTTTGTGAGGGATTTTGGACAATGAATTTATCAGTTTATAAAAGAAACCTTTAAAAAAGATTGTCTATAACAATGAACAGAATTAAACTATCAGTTCTCTTCCAAAACCATAAAAGGCATTTGTTTTATTAAATTTCCTTTTTAAATTAATAAGTATGAGTATAGCAAATAGATTAACTATCTTTGCAACTAGACGATCCAGGCCTGCTTTTATTATGTGGTTTTCAAAAAGCTTTTGAAACTTCTCTAAATAATTTAAACAATATACAACTGGATTTAGATCAAATATTATTAAACATTAAACCATATTCTGCTCTCACCAAAACGATTCATTTATTGATCAAGTATTAAGCAATGCACGGTATCCTTTCTGTATTCATTAAGATATTGATGGATATTTGTCAAATAGAAATATATTATACAAACAAAAACATGAGAACCCATTGGTATAAAAAAAGTGAAGCAAATGACAACTACCGCTTCTCGTAAACATGATATCAAGTGATGCGTTCATAAAATACTTTCTCTCAAAATAAGTCTAATATTAATATCAGCTGCCTTGTTCAAATATGGTATACAACAAGATGCATTGAAGGTAAATGTACTTGTCCACTTTATGCATGTGTCACAACTTTGAATGGAATACATTTATTAATAAACAGAATGACACAAAACATTCATCTCCTGTCGGACATTGATAGTGACAGTTCTGGACGGAATGTTAGATGCACAACATGCATCTGGGCCAAGGTGTTAACAAGAACTGTCCGGGACGGAATGATAGATGCACAACATGCATCTGGGCCAAAGTGTTAACAAGATCTGTTCTGGACGGAATGTTAGACACGAAACATAAATCTCTATCAAGGTGTTCTTGGCAGAATTCTAGACATAAGATACTCATGTTTGCAATGGGCGTTGACAAGGGCTTTTTGATACAAAAAATGTTGTTATAAAAATTTAATGTTAGATACAAAACATGCATCTCTACCACAATGTTACAAGGACTGTTCTTAGTGGAATGGTAGATACAAAACATTAATCTCTACTAGTGCCACAGTGACTGCTCTTTGCGGAATGTTAGATACAAAACATGCATCGCCACCACAGCGTTACAAGGACTGCTTTAAGTGGAATGTTAGATATAAAACATTAATCTCTACAAGTGCCACAGTGACTGCTCTTTGCGGAATGTTAGATACAAAACATGCATCGCCACCACAGCGTTACAAGGACTGCTTTAAGTGGAATGTTAGATATAAAACATTAATCTCTATTAGTGTCACAGTGACTGCACTTTGCGGAATGTTAGACACAAAACATGCATCTCTACCACAATGTTACAAGGACTGCTCTTAGCGTAATGTAAGATACAAAGCATACATCTTTCCTACGGTGCTACAAGGACTGTTCTTGGCAAATTTGATACGAATCGGGAATCCCTACCACATTGTTTAAACGATTGTTCTGGACGGAATGTCAGATATAAAACACTCATCCATCCAAAGGGCGCAAGCAAGGGCTGTTTTGGCAGAATGTTAGATAAAAAACATGCGTCTCAACCACGGCATTACAAGAACTGTTCTTGGCAAGTTAAGATACGAAACGGGCATCTCTACCATATTGTTAAAATGGCTGTCCTGGACATATACAGAACACCTTTACCAAGGTGTTAACAAGAACTATTCTGGACGGAACGGTAGACATGAAACATTCATCTCTACTGAGGATTTAAGGACAATGCTGGACGGAATATTAGATATAAAACACTCAAAACAAAGCAAACAAACAACATATTACAAACGTTTGCTCGTTTAAAAACTAATCGCTTCAAAATAAATGTGGTCAGATGTGCCAAAATATAAGCATAATTGATTTCATCTAGTATTTCCATAATGCATTCTGCTTACATTTGACATTCGGTGACGGCGCTGCGTTATCCAGAGTTCAAATTTAGTGTGTGTGTGTGTGTGTGTGTGTGTGTGTGTGTGTGTGTGTGTGTGTGTGTGTGTGTGTATAGTGCTAGCTCACTGAGATACCGTGCCGCAGTTTTACATGAATACCCCACTCAGACACGGTATACTGACTCCGAGCCTTGTTTTTACCCCCTTTTTCTATTTACGTCTTTTGGTATGACGCGGCCGGGAATCAAACCCCGGACCTTCCGTTCTCCGGGCGGACGCTCTACCACTAGACCACGGAGGCGACCTCGAGCCATTTAAGAGGGACGAATGCAAATCTTGCTCAGATGATTATTTCAATCTGTCTACAAACTCATTATAATACCAAAGAGTTAATAAAACCGAAAATATCTTGATTAGCATGCATTAAACTATTAGCTACATGTTTACTACATACCAAATATTTTGAAAACATGACAACTACATGAAAATACTCGTATGACGAAACACTTTCTAATTATTTACCATGATAAATCCATTGTTCATATTTCGACAACATGCCACCATTCTTTAGATATACATAACTGTGTCTAAATTGACAGTCTGATAATATTTTTTAAATAAAACACCTTCAACACGTCAGGACGATGTCGTAGGCCAAGTATTGTACCAGATAAAAACACAACATCATCTGCAAACATGGACAAATCTACAAGTTCAGGAGAAGTTGTATTCCTGGTATCCTCAAGACTTCATTCTCATAAACCAATTCGTTGATGAAAAACAGAGAATAACACAGGACATAATACACATCCCCGTCGTAAACCTAGTGGACACTCAAAGCAAACAGACACCTTGTTATTAAATTGCACACAATACCTGACATAATTATAAGCAGAGCTAATAGAATTTAGCAGTGTTTCATATGCTAAACAAAAAAGTTAGGGATCATGACATATTTTTCAATGCGGTACTCTTTTATAGAAACGATGTTGAGAAACATATATTAATAAATTTGAACTCTTCATGGCCTTAAGATACATGGTTGGTTGCACGGCGTACATATAAGTGTGGTTCTCGTACGGTTTCATTAACTGGATGCTGCTCGGCGTGTTTTCGGGCCAGGTCCTGCTCATGCTTCTTCCGATTTTCCCTTAGTCTAAACAGGACATCGTCACTACTTCGTCGAGAAAGCTGTAACACAAACAAATAAATAAAAGCGACAAAACCCTTTCCATATTCATACGAAATCTCTGATAAAAGCAGAGTCGATTGTACGATTCCGACTATATCATGAGCCTGTATTTATGAATCACTATCAACTAGTGATGATACCAGGTGTTGTTAGCGTAAATGTGAGCGTTTCTTGACCCACTGGTGACACCCGTAATAACCACATGCAAAGGCAAGTCAATCGTTCACCGAAAACCACGGGAACATATGGTACAAGTCACAATTGAGAATTGCATCGGACATGATCATTTCTGTAACTGACGCGTCAAATTTGGCAATGTCCTCCACATGTCTAAGGAAGGACACACCAACTCATAATTTTATGAATCGACAATTAAGATAATGTAAAACTAGCCAGGTAAAACTACAATTTTAAGATAATGTAGTTTTTAACTCTTCGAACATTAAAATATATTTCCATGCACTAAAGTGAATTATTAAACGTTATTCGTGACAGATGACCTCAACAGCATATACACCCGGTCGTGAGGCCAAATCTTATTTGATTATCATATTGGTTGATCATAAAAGTAACCACAACGAAAATTTGACAGTCCTTTTGTCACCCTAAATTACCAAGCCTCGGAAATACTTATGACAGTCAGTATTACCTATTTACACAATGTGTTCTGGTGCATGCCTTGTAAAGCGCAGGTACTTTCATGACCAAGAAATAATTGGTGTTTGGTTGCAGTTAGAATGATCAAAGATTAACTGGTCAGCCAACTGAAGGGAACGTTGGAGCATTCATAACAAAGCTGAGTACAAGCTGCTCTTGACAACTGTTATACATGTCTACCAGAACCTAACTGAGAAAGTTCCGTCGTAGTGCGAATGTTCTCCTATATTTGTATGCTCTAGCATTGATGAATGAGCGAGTTGTGTTTTAGTAGACAGTGATTTCTCAGATTTATCACGGTGTATGTCCTTAATGTGGAAAGAATGCTCAATGTGATTTATCTGGTACATGTTTATAACTTTTTTGAAACACTGTTGACGAATAGGTGCTGACATAAAGAATCATTCTCCGTGTTATCAAATCGCTGGGTAATTGAACAAACAAATAAACATAAACACACACACGAACACCCAGTCACTCACTCACTCACACTCACACATACACACAAAATAATTACATACCCCTTGATGACTTTTTCCTTTCTTTCCCCTTCTGATGTCAGAATCATTGCTCTGGCTGCTAAATTCCTGGTCAATTTGAAACATAAACATATAATTGATAATACTGTTGAAATTATGTTTTATGGACATAAGTGGTCCAGACTGTGTTTCCTCCAGTAGTTAATTTATATGTGCTGTGAAAATAATATTCCCATGGACGAAATGACTCACTCACTGACTGAGGTGTGTGTTTTACGCCTCTCGGAGCAGTATTTCAGTTTTGTCATGGCGTGTGGTGTTTTCTCAATAGTGACAGAGAGCAGGGAGGTTCTCCAATATTTGTATGCTCTGGCATTGATGAATGAGCGAGTTGTGTTTTAGTAGACAGTGATTTCTCAGATTTATCACGGTGTATGTCCTTAATTTGGGAAGAATGCTCAATGTGATTCATCTGGTACATGTTTATAACTTTTTTGAAACACTGTTGACGAATAGGTGCTGACATAAAGAATCATTCTCCGTGTTATCAAATCGCTGGGTAATTGAACAAACAAATAAACATAAACACACACACGAACACCCAGTCACTCACTCACTCACTCAAACTCACACATACACACAAAATAATTACATACCCCTTGTTCACTTTTTCCTTTCTTTCCCCTTCTGATGTCAGAATCATTTCTATGGCTGCTAAATTCCTGGTCAATTTAAAACATAAACATATAATTGATAATACTGTTGAAATTATGTTTTATAGACATAAGCGGTCCAGACTGTGTACTACTACTAAATTGGAGATTTTACGACCGCTTCTACCTCTGGCAATTTCGCAGTCGGGGAAGGAAGGGAAGAAACAATAAATAGTATAATAATAGAGATAATCACCATTCCCAAAAAACTGTAAGTGGGGGGGATATAACCTAAGTAAAGGGGAGAGAGAATTTTGCCTTATTATCTAACTAAGCTAATAAATGTAAAGCATAATAGGTGAAATGATTACAGTTAGGCTGTAATTTTAACAATAATGGAGTTTAATAAGGAAAGAAAAAGGAGATAAAGCCTAACGTAAGTCTAGGTAAGCTGGGGTGGGGGTGGGGGGTGAGGAGCCATGGTTGTGTGTGCCATGCATCTCGCAGTGATTGAATAGCTTTAGGTATGGTTAAACGATAATGATATTATAGTGGCTGGAAAAGTGGGTTTGGCGGCGCGGACGTCGGAGAAGACAGTCCGCGCTAGAAATTTGGATCCCGATCCTAAATAGAAACGTTTGTTTACAGTGGGACTATAAGAAACTGTTTATTTAGGAGAGAATTAACTGGAAGTGATAAAGGCGGATTTAGGTAGGGCTGCAGCTGGTACCGGGGATTTACTGTCTATGTGTCGGGGAGAGCTCCAGAGAGTAGGAATTTAGTGAGTTGGTGATCATACAGGCTTAGGGGGTGGTAATTTTTCTTTACAAAGTGGGCCGTGGTATTGGTGATGAATTGGGGGGTGAGGGTAATCCCCTGGTCTTGCACTTCGAGGAGTAGGGATTTAAGGTCTGAGGGGGTAGAGATTTCATGTTCGAAACGCTCCTTTCCCAGGTATTGTACGATGGTAAAGAGTGGGCGTTCATGGGTGCTTTTATATACTTTGATGCCAGGGGCTTGGAGCGTGAATGCGGAGGATAGGAGGTAGTGGTCGGATAGGATTTTATCGGCCAGTAGAGTGAGTTCTTTAGTATTTTGCAGCTGAGATGGGGCTGTTTCTTGGGCGATAGGGTCAGTTTGGGAATGAGTGTTAGTGTGAACCAGGTGTTTGATGGGTGAGGTGGATGAGTTGCTGGTGGTTGGTTGTTTTGGGGAGGGGGGTGGCGAATGGGGTAGTTCCATGGTTTGGGTGGAGCAGTGAAGACTGGTTATATTGGGAAAAGCATTGGGGGGTGTTTGAGTGAAGTGGTCAGTTTGGGGGATATGGGTAGGTGTGCTTAGTCTTTTCCTCTTTTTAACGTGTTGAGGGGTTTGATTGGAGGGGGAGGTAGCCGAGCTGGTGCAGGGGGTATGGGGGTTTATGCCCGGAGTTTGTTGGGAGGGATAAGTTGTGATATTTACATGGTCCTGATCTTGGGATGGAGGCTGAGGAGTCATTAGGTGAGTGACTGTTTCCTGGGTTGGCGGGGGTGATGATGTAGGTTGGTATTGGTCCATGTATATGGCCATGTCTGGGTTGACGCTGGGTTGGTTGGCCGAAGTCGAGGAGGAGGCTTGCCCGGTGGTTGAGGCTTGAGGAGGGTTAGGATGATTGATCCTCCTACTGTTCCTGTACCAGGCTGTTTTGGGCTGCTTGGTGTCAATGTCATGACGCCAAGAGACAGATCCGCTAATATGGAGTAGTTCCCCACTCTGTATGAAAGTAGTGGAAGTATAATTTCCACAAGATCCCTAGGAAGGGATTTGTTGATGTTTCTAGAAGCTGTGTTCATATTTGAACGAACGTGTACGACGGTTACCTGACTGTGAACGTGTTACGAACGCTGAACCAAAAGACCAACTTGTGACCTCCATAATTATGTTTTATGGATATAAGCGGTCCAGACTGTGTTTTCTCCAGTAGTTAATTTATATGTACTGTGAAAATAATATTCCCATGGACGAAATGACTCACTCACTGACTGAGGTGTGTGTTTTACGCCTCTCGGAGCAGTATTTCAGTTTTGTCATGGCGTGTGGTGTTTTCTCAATAGTGACAGAGAGCAGGGTCGTCTCAATGTTTTATAAGCTTTACAACCCGGGTCTTGGGCATGACCAACGAACGCTATAACCACAAGCCTACCCTACCGCCCCCGACTAAAATACACTTGCAATGAACTACTCAAACAATCTACTACATTGACTAGGTCACTTTGTTATGACCCATTGTTGAAATTTAGTCAGACTTTTTAACCAGCCGCCCTTTAGGATGGGTAATTGGATAAGTAGGTATATCTAAGACAAGTAGGTATGTAGGTAGGTAAGTAGATCCGAGAAGGTAAGAAGGTAGGTACACGTGAGAAGGTAGGTGGGTAGGTCTGAGATGGTAAGAATTGAGTGAGTGAGTTGGGTTTAACGCCGATTTTAACAGTATTCCAGTCATATCACGGTGTGTCAGCTTAATGTGGGAGGAGAGCCCGACGTGATGCAGGTCTCAGACGTTTACCACTTCGGTGAAACCCACGAGCACTTTTAACTTTATATAATCTTTATTAAAGTCACGAACGTGATAAAAACAAACATTAACGTCCTTGCACATCAAAATTAATGATATTAAAAAACACAAAACAGTGTCGAATACCGAATTTCGGTACCAGAATTTTCATGAAATATGTGAGGTGGGTGTTAGAAAATCAACGATGGCTGTTACTAACGGTATACGGTTTCATATTAGGTCAGTATCAACCATCTTGGATTTTTACTGACGGCATACGGGATCATGCGGGGTCAGTACTTCTGCTCTCTGATTGGTCAATCTCACTTTGAGGCATAATCAACATTCATATAAAGACATAAAGACATACCCCCTGGCTTTTACGTTCGTCATATCCGCCAATATCTATGTCCACGCTCTTAGCGGCACGCTGATTTCTCCCAAGTTTGTCCTACGAAATAAAATCATGTAAATCAATAATAGTAAAAAACATAAGTATCAAATAATCAATCAACCAACCAAACAACCAACCAATCAATCAATCAATCGGCTACAAGCACATAGTGTATCTGTTTATCTAGACTGTTTAACAATTGCCAGAATTTCACAATATTTGGATCATTAAGGTAATACACAGTGGAGTACAATGGACATACAAGTAAAAATTAGTATTCATGTGGATATTACACCTTTTACATAATCATTAACCTTGGACCTTGGAGATTTTGTATATCGCCCACTCTCGATGCATAGATCACTGGATGAACATCGAAATCTTGCCAATGAATTACGGTATTATATTTTATATTTACATCAAACAGATGCTTCTCAGTGCAAACATGAGGTTTCAACATTCTATAATATAAAAACGTGTTGGATAATGTTAACGAAAATGAAAGGATTGCAGATTTATTTTTTAAAACATATCTTTAAGCCTATGCAGAAAAGAATTGATCAAACAATTTCAGGGTATACAGATTGTTCATGCCAAAAATATCCACACAAACACTATTGAATTGAAAACATCACATAAGTTACCCAGTTATTCGTTCCATTTGTGTCATAAAACATCATCTTGTTGCAACATTTCTAAAGGGGCATATCGATGAAATCAGTTTAAGGAGTTTCATACAGTACTTTCGAACGTTTACCTGTGATTATATATTCATAGAGGAAATCTACCACATTCGCCATAAACCATTGCGAGGATGTGCTGATTTTGACAAGACATCTTTTACATTGAATTTCATACAAGTGAACCTTTCGATACCATTGAATTGTTTTAATCTCCATATTTAAGTACGGTAGAAGTAAAATTGGAAGTTAATTTAAACATAAAAAATGGTGAAGAATGTCTTGTAACTTATATCACCAAGGATTTGTATATTCGTCAATATACAAAATAAAAGGATTTTTCCTGGACTGATGTTTCTCTTGCATGTATAGGCCAGTTTAGATTGTCACTGAAATAAACACCCAAATATTTATAGTGTGTAGTTACATTCAAATTTCACCTTTAAATGACCGTTTTGCATCTTTTGCAAGTTTACAACTATATTTGAACACAAATGGAATGATTTTAGTTTTGACTCAATTAACAGTGAGTTTCCTTGTATCACAGTATTTTTCAAAGATATCAATTTGCATAATTATGCATGTCACCAGAAGTGCTTGAGAATGTAATAATATCATCTGCAAATAATAAAAGAATGAGTTGAACAACATCTGAATGTAATTGAATACCGTTTGTTCAACTGTTATGGATTTCTGATACAAATTCATTTATGAAAAAGGAAAATATAAACGGACTCAATATACATCCTTGGCGCACGCCGAATTTTCATTCAAATAAATCAGACATTTCTCCCTTTTCCCGTACACAGGTTTAAACACTTTCATTTATACTACATAATAATTTCAACATTTGGGAAGTACGTCCAGGTACAATAAATAATATACACCTGTGTACAGAATCAAATGCTTTGGAGAGGACAACACATATTGCGCGAAACTTCCTCCCTTTCTTGCTGATAAAGCGTTGTATCAGAGATTGCAATATGATGATATCATTAACATAAACGAATAAAAAAATATAAAGACAAATTGTAGTGGGGTGTCGATTTCGTCGATTGTTTTCCAACGAAATAAAATAATGTATGTAACTACTAAAATAGTGAAATAGACAGGTACTACCTGTGATAAGTAGGAATATTGGTACAGTATGTTTGCGCTGACTTTGTAACATGTTCATATTAGAAATTATCAAAATATAAACACAGATGACACAAGTTGTATAAAAAATCGTGAATAATGTGTTAATGACGTTTTTCTCATGTGCTGATATTAGGAATATAACAACCAGTGTTTGTGTATAATAAACGCCGCACTCAGCAATATTCAAGCTATATGACAGCGGTCTGAAGATAATGGTCTTGACACGTCAGTTCAGTGATTGACATCATAAGCATAAATTTTGATACGATGACATGCAATCAGCCAAGTCACGAAGCCTGACCACCCGACAAGCATATGGTTCCTGTCGGCCAATGTTATTACACGAATCTCCACGTGTTAATAATACCCAGTGGGGACTCGAAATAGGTAAAGGTCAATACCACCCAGTGCTCATGAACAGGGCCGATTCATGCTAGGAACAGTGTGGTCACAGTTTGTCTCCGTTACTAAACGATGCTCATAATATGAACCACTGGATTGTCTCGCAGACCGATTACTAACTGTCCGTTGTAATAAAGCCTGTATATTGCTGTTAGGACAGCATTAGTTCATGCGCTCCAACACTGATGTACCCAAGCTTGATGCGAATATAATATATACCACCAATCCTTCATAAGCTTAGGGACTTCGCAATGCCAAATCAACCAGAGATTTAGTGTGTTAGTATGGTTTTACACCGCTTTTCGGCACTATTCCATCAATATCACGGCTTCACACATTGTACCCCAAACAGATTTCAAACAATGATATTCATCATTGCTAATTACGTCAATGGACGACAGCTACGTACCCTTCCTTTGGCCCTATTCGGCAGAGCTGGAATGACGAAGGACAGAAGGACTCAGTCACTCACTCACTCACACCCACACATACACACAAAATAATTATATACCCATTGATCGCTTTTCAAACCAAGATATAATGCTCCAGCCGATTCATGGTCATCATTTGAAGAAGGGCCTTAAGTGTTTAAACTACATCGTTTTGATCACCGTATTTAAAAAAACAAAAACTTTCAAGAACTATATGCGTAACTGTGAGAACACTGTGTGAGTCGCCCCTGTGCGATGCACGTGAAATATGTTCCCTGTGCCACTTGCATCTCACTCTTTGATGTTATGAAATGCACGTCCCGGGGCAAGTATACAATTCATATAGGACCAGCTCGAGCAAATGTATCGATCACATATATACTATATTCCCGTGGTACTAAATTCTTGGGTTCGAATCCCACTGACGAAAAACGTTTGCGTGACATTGTTCTATCATTAAGATATCTGGATGTCTATGTATATGCCAATTAAGGATTGACTGTGTATTCTTTTCTCAATAGTGACAGAGAGTAGGGTCGTCTCAGTGTTTTATAAGCTTTACAACCCGGGTCTTGGGCATGACCAACGAACGCTTTAACCACAAGCCTGCCCTACCGCCCCCGACTAAAATACACTTGCAATGAACTACTCAAACAATCTACTACATTGACTAGGTTACTTTGTTATGGCCCACCGTTACTAAACGATGCTCATAATATGAACCACTGGATTATCTCGCAGACTTATCCCTAACTGTCCGTTGTAATAAAGCCTGTATGTTGCATTAGTTCATGCCTTTCCACACTGATGTACCCAAGCTTGATGCGAATATAATATATACCACCAATCTTTCCACTGTTAGTGCGTTAGTATGGGTTTACACCGCTTTTCGGCACTATTCCATCAATATCACGGCTTCACACATTGTACCCCAAACAGATTTCAAACAATGATATTCATCATTGCTAATTACGTCAACGGACGACAGCCACGTACCCTTCCTTTGGCCCTATTCGGCGGAGTTGGAATGATGAAGGACAGGGGCACCTTGGAATCCTCCTTCTTCTCATCACCATCAGTCACGAAAGACAACCGCCCCATCCTGGCCACGAACTCGAATGTATCGGGCTTATTCTTAACAGAAACCAAATTATATATATTGGTATATTCTCTTCAAGGCACCTTATAGAGCATTCGATGCAATGTATCATCTCTAAAAAAAGATAAACATCCGCGTTAATCATGACAGCTATGGGCGCTATGCCTGTTTTAGTGCGAGAGACGTGTATTGATGTGACCTACCCCCGCCGCACACATGGTGATGATCTTCGTTGTTCTTCTTTATCTTGAGCCTTGACTGCTTGAGTTACCGTATCTGCAACTGTTCACTGTATCACTGCAAACACGAAAATGTAGTTTTTTTCCGAATATGGTCATTGGACGGAAAAACGATGTTATTTGGACGTTTTCAAACCATCGTTTTTCCGTCCAAATAACGTCGTTATTTGACATCGGAATTTACTGGGAGAGAACGATACCATCAAGCTCCTCCCTTTCTTGATCGACATTGTCAATCAAGCAACAGCGTCTACCGGTATTTGTACTTCTCAGATTTCATTGGTCAGTTCTCGCGTGTTAGATTACAGGCCCGAGTTTGACATTAAAATAATTTAAAACTTTAATGCGTAGTCCCTAATATATAAAACTGTATAATTGTGATAGAATCAAGTAACTCCATTAAAATTGAAGAGGAGCCCCAGTGATATGGGAGATTCCGAGATGAACCTATTCTATGGATATCTTGGCTGCCACCCAAACTGATCCAAACGGGACCGGAAAGCTTATTGTAAGTTTTATAGTCATATGGAAGTGGACCAGAATTTATACAATCTATTCCGCACGATTGTGTTCTTTTAAGTCAGGAAAAATGATTTAAAAGGGTATTTGTTTAATTTAATTATTAAATGTTGCCTAAACACTACTCTGGACGTACTACTCATTGTTCTATTTATGTCATCTTATATACACTCTCCAAAAATGGAAACGCACAGGAAGATTTTGAGGAAATGTATTGTACCTAATAAAGTCAATATATTTAATTTAATATCATAGATACAAATATGATATGAAATTTTGGAGCTCGATAGTCACATGTTGTCGTTGTACAAAGGCATTGAAAACTGTTTATTGTCATGTCACATGAGGCCATAAGGGGGCGCTGAACTCAGTATCTCGTGTGACCGCCCCGGACAGCAATCACGGCTCTGCATCTCCTCGGCACTGCCTGGATAAGTGTACGAACTCTGTCCTGCGGAATTCTGCGCCATTCTGCTTGTAACGCGTTGGCCAGTTGTGGGAGTGTCTGACGTTGACGTACACGCCGATTGAGTTCATCCCAGAGGTGTTCGATTGGATTGAGATCTGGAGATCTCGACGACCAGTGCTAGACGTTGATGTTGGCATTATGAAGGCTGTAAGGTATTGCACCAACCCAAGCGTCGCTGTCGATGGATCTGTTGCACAACACGGATGATAACTTGTCTTCTGGGTCGGATTCCAGCCTCGCGAAGATGGTTCCTGACAGTCTGGTCCGATATCCTCCTCAAACAAGGGGTGCATCCTGCAGTCTCCGTAGCTGTGGCATTGCGATGACGTAGGTGGAACAGTCGAATGTAGCGATCCTGTTCAGGGGTGGTAACTCTTGGTCGGCCGGTTATCAGTCACAAAGGCGGCAAAAGGTGTTGTGGTGGACGTTGAAGTAGCGTGCAACAGAAGACTGGGATTCCCCTCTTTGTGATGTTCCGATCGGCAGCGCTGAGTCTCGGCATTTTCGAACTTAAAAAATGTTGACAATTAAATTACAAATTATTGGCTTATGCTTGCCTTTTCATAGCAACTACCACGAGTTACGAATGCCATGATACCTTGCACGTGCATTTTGCTTTACTGTTTTCCTCCATGACATTTTTTAACAAGTGTGAAAACAATGCCGTTAAAGACATTGCAAATCGACACTGGCTGCGTTTTGACGCACCGTTTGTCGAGTATCGAATATCAACATTTTCCAACAACATATATCCAATTTATATACCGGATTTTTTGTGTGGTCAGGTTCAATGGACAACATACTACCTGTGCGTTTCCTTTTGTGAAGAGTGTATATATCAGATATACATTAACGCATGTTACTGTTCTAAAGTCATCCTCTCATATAACCTTATATTGTTCAAACTATCAAAGTTTAGTCAACAATATCAAGAGCAGCAATTTAAACTCCTGAAATACTCAAACACAAGACTGTTATCAAGCGCTAGTGCACACGTGATGCATCATAAAAACTGTATTGTGATTTCTTAAGAAATACAATTTCTTGCAAATATTTATACTACGAGATAGTAAGGCTAACGCTTACTCACCGGTGGAACGTAGACAATAACGCTAATATCGACAATATCACGTATTTGAATGTTAATACTAAAGACAAACACTCAATAGTTTTGCAGTGACGAGATAACACTTATGCACGTTTATTGGTAACTTTCAACAGTTTTGCTCTTCATTTTCATAACTTTGTTTTCACATATACATGTAGCACTACCCGACTAGCGTGTCATACCTAATTATGGGGCAGTTTTCAATCTTGTACTGACTTACTCTGGTGTTACTGAACGAAGCTTCTTGGCTTGGGTGTTACACCCCGTTTTTCTGGTAATCCTATTATCACTTTATTCTTATCAAATGACATCCTGTTCTGTGACTGTCCATAACAATTTAAGATGAACATTCAGTTCAAGTACATGAATGTGTTTTTTTGGCGCCACAGCCAGTCAAAGGCCAATGCTGTGCGGATTGATGACACACTTCTACCAGGTAGAAAATCGTGGATATTCATTTAATCCGCACTGTGGATATTCCTGGTGACGAAAAGGCCCCCATGTACCTGGGAATGTTGTCAATATATTCATGCGGGGCATTTCCTACCTAAGGAGAATCATAGTTCATATGATATTGCATCTACCAATACCGTCCCGTTTAAGTTAAATTCAACACCTAACCTCCTAACCAGGCAACTACCATCATTAAAATAGAGGGTACTTCGATCTACTGTCGTATTTCAAGAAGGTTCAAGACATTCTGATTCATAATTTTTTTCAGAAACATCAGTTAAATCAATTTTTATAATATTAAATAGAAATTTGCGTGACATGTATGAGACTTCATCACTGATTTTCAGTGGTCAATTTATTCATATAATGTTCGCAGCTATTTTGCCTTTTACACCAACTGGAACCTGTTTCGACGGATAATCAAGGCTGGTTATGCTCTTTCATTGACATTTATATTTATAAGTTGACTGTGGTTGTCCTATTTTCGTTCAGCTATGAAAATCGAATAATAATGACATAGTATCTATATAAATATTGGAGGAATTTATTTTATGAATGCCTTCTAAATATGAAATCTGCTTCACAAGGGAAAGATATTTTGCATTTCTTTGTTGTAAAATATAAGAGAATATGTGGATGTCAGCTTCTTTATTATGAAGACCGGGTTCGATTCCCGACATGGGTACAATGTGTGAAGCCCATTTCTGGTGTCCCCCGCCGTGCTATTGCGGGAATATTGCTAAAAGCGGCGTAAAACCATACTCACTCACTATTATGAAGATCACAACGTTTCGAAGTATAGGCTTACTTCTTCACCTGAAACGTTGTGTTCCTCATAATAAAGAAGTTGACATCCATATGTTCTCATCCTTTTACTAGATCAGGTCCATCTGTCATTCTTATTTAATAGATTAAACATATTTAAGAAACTATCTAGATATAAACCACTGTAGAAAGTTTTCCCTTGTCCCTACAATTACAAGATTATATCCGGTTCCATTTCTACCTCTATGTTTATTTTGCCTGTTTTGCCCCATGAAATCTTTGGCGGCAAATCATCGAGACTGTTTTGTCTCTAGTGATGGCGTTCTCTATTTACAAGGTCACACGAGATCATGCCACGGTGACATGTGGTAGATACCTAATTAATATCAGTTTTCGTTTCACATATTAGTTCTAAATCTTGATCATATATGTATTCCTAAGAATTCATTTACACCAAACGGGATATTACACATTGGCCGCTGAGATAATAATAATCTATTTTTGTTTTACATGGGTTCGATTCCTTATGGACATAAGACTGAAGCAAAAAGAACATGTACGACATGCTTACCCTTTTGGCGAACCCCGTGATCCATTGATATATTTTTTACCGCTATTTTGCCCTTTTACGCCCATTGTAGTCTGTTTCGTGGCTATTTTCTGGCATTGACGTTTTACATTTATAATTCAGAAGGCTTTATGTAACGTATTATTTGCTTGTGAGTGCATGTTTACATTTATAATTCAGAAGGCTTTATGTAACGTATTATTTGCTTGTGAGTGCATGTTTACATTTATAAATCAGATGGCTATATGTTTGATTGTTTCTTGTTTACCGCCGCACACAACAATAATTCAGCTGAATGACGGCGGCCCGTAAATCATGACAAGACAATCCAGTGATTTATATCATGAGCACCGATCTGAGCAATTGGGATACGATAACATACACCACCGAGGTCAACAAGCCTTACCATCCGATCCCGTAAGTTGCCTGTTACGACAAGCATTGTCGCCTGTTACGACAAGCATGGGTTGCTGAAGACCTGTTCTAACCCGTATCTTCACTGGTGAGATGGCTACATCTCACGTATGAAATGCTTGTGAGTGAAGGGTTACGCGACAAGGTCCTTGTGCTTGTTCCTACTTTCTATCTCTGTTCTACTCTCTGTTCTACTGGTGGTCGACTTGATCTCTCCATCTCGAGCTGAACATACACATGTACACTCACCAACATGGTACAGTGGTGTCTAAAAGACGTCTTTGTCAGTATGTTAAATGTGCCCCTTGGCGAACAACGAAACTGCATTGTCGACATGTATGCGGTTACGTATTCCCACATTCAAGGACATGCACGTAGGCTTACCCAGTCTGCCAACAGTGGATCATTTGTCCGTCATGTGAACTCTGCCTGCCCCAAACTTACTAATACTTCTCCACGCGCGGGCGCAACTGTTTATACAGTGTCAAATCTTTAAAGGCGTTACCCTAGACTAACATTAAGTTCCAGAAATAAAGTTATGGTATTTAAAAATGTATATCTACAAAATATAATACAAATGATGAGGCAATCTAGACTTTCCAAAACATTCTAGACTTGAGTTGGGTTACTTTGTTAATATATTCTCTTGGGTCTGGGAGACGGACTATGTTACCCCTGAGGAATTACGACTAGTCCCCCGGACTTGTCTACTCGTCGTGTTTGTAATAGGGCATGTAATATTATATATGCTGACAATGCAAG